GGTTAGCAGCCAATGAAGTGAACCACTTGCACCACCCAGGGACTCCAGAAGCAAGAAAGGAGCCCAGAAAGGACATTGAAATCAAGTAGTCAGAAAGACAGGAGGGGATTTTGGGGGAAAACCATGTAGGAATTTCAAGAAAGAAGAATATCAAATAGAGAAGTCAAAAAAGAAAAGTGTTACTAGACTTAATAATATGAAGGTTATTGATATTTGTATATATAGCTAAACATACTGATTAAATATCATCTATACAAAATATTTCAGACATACCTGATCTCCCCATTCATTAATTACAGGCATATTAATATCATCAATAAATACAGTCATTTTTCTCCCTCCTGGTGGCCCATATGTGCTTCCCATTCGCTTATCCACATAACTTTCAATTGTTCTCTGGAGAAAAGGAAACATTTTCTTATCTGTTATAGTTTAATCTATATTTCTAAAAAGGATAAGCATTTTTTTAGAGTAAAATATTATTTATTTGACACATATGAACATAATCATTAAAATATGTACTGTGAAATAAAAAGTAAGTTATTAGATGTTAATCATTAATTTATATTAAAATAGATACACGCCAAAGTTCACCTTCAGCCTCAATATTAGGCCAAAATATGCTATTTGGATTTGGCTTTCACCTTAGCCTTAGAGTGCCAACTGTATCATTTCCTTTGATATTATATAATATTAATTAATACAATGCTAATATTAACATAATACGATATTTTACATGCATCCACATTTGATTGTAATGACCACTTAAAATATTTAATATATTGAACACTATAGCAAATGATGGGTTTTACCTGAAACATCATTGGTTCTGTGGCAGATGAAAAGTTTAGAGATTTGGATAACTGCACTTCAGGATCATACTTTTTCAAATAGGCCTTAATCATTACTGTTTTTGCTGTTCCCTGCTCTCCTGTGAGCAAGACAGCCTGTAATCATAGGATAATCATGTAGAAAGGTATTATAGCATGTTTATTTTTAAATTTCTTACAGTCCTACTGGCCATTCTTACATTCCATCAAGCATATAACTAATTTTTTATTGCTTCTTAGGATTTCATCTACATCAAAATAAATTCTAGTTGAAATTAAAGTTTTAAATGTAAAACGTATATCACAGAAGTACTGGAAGAAAATATGTGTGACTACTCATGTTGCCTTGAGAGTTCCATGGAAGGGCTTTATAAGGAGACCTGCCCACTTTCTTTAGCAAGCTGGGAGTCAACAGTCCAGGGGATACCAAGTTGGGTATATCCTGGGACATGGTTCATTTACCAAAAGTATTTCCCACAAATGACACTACCACCAGCTCCTTGTGCAGGAATTTAATTTTTCTATCTGTAGTGTTTCTTATGTGGTTTGTGATCATCTAAGAGACTGTCCATT